TGCTTTGCTCCGAACTATCTGGTAATGGTACGGGAAAACTTTCATCTAGAACTCTTGAAAAGCACTTAGCCAACGGTCCCTTATCTAGCCTAGAATTGGTAGCTCGTAAACTGATATTCATGGATAAGGTTATAGTCTTCTTAAAGTTTCGCTGTAAATCACGACTAGTTCCATAACTTTCTCGAAACAAATATATAAGGTCCTCATACGAAAGGTCATCGTCAGACCATAACACAATCTCATTTATGACTGAGGCCCAAGGTTCTGGAACAGTTTCATATAACCTCTGTATCTTCACCTTATCCCTTAAGCTATGGTGTATCTTCCATAACATCTCAATAATACAGTCTAACAGATCAAGATGTTGTTCGAGGCTATGGAGCGGATGCATACGATAATTATAGTAAAATGCCAATAATATGTCCCGCTTCTTCGCAAAACCACAAGCTTCTGTCCTTGTGGGGGTTCTTACCGTTCGTGTCATAACTAGGACAAAAATTGATTAATTATGTTACTCTCTACAAGACTCTAATAAATATTTAGATATAAGTGTTTATGACTTCATAATCTCAACCATGACTTGATTCAAAGTATTCCTATATCCAGCCATAGATATAGCAGTTCGTTGTATAAGAAAACTCATAAAATTTAAAAAAAAAATTTACCTTGATCGTTGGTTGGAAGTCAGTTGCTAGTTTGCTCGATGATGAAGGACAGTAAATCTAGAATTTGTGGCTACTTATTACCCTATAATCAACCCACTTGTCATTTATCATTACCATACACTTATGCAATAGGCCAAACATGTGTAGAAGCAAAAAAAAAGAATGGAGGTAAAAGAGAAGGTGAGACGGTGGAGATTTAAAAAAAAAAAAACAAAGATCAATCCATTATCCTTATCCTTATATATATATATATGCTCATTGCCATAGAAAAAGATTTCCTTCACTTTGCAAAACATTTATACACACAAATAGAGAGAAAAAACCAACAAGAAGGAAGGAAACGAAAAGGAAGTAAAGCCTAGCACTTTCAATTCATATTTCAATCGAAATTTCTTCAAGTTTTACGGTAAGATACTTTCCATGCTTAAGGGGTATGATTTCATGGTAATATTTATACTTAAGTTATGCATGAAAAGCCATAATAAGCATATGATGGACAAGTCCACAAAGTTAGATATCTATTTATGCCTTAGGACGAGTCCGAAGGGCACCGGCAAGCCGAAAGGTGCAAGTATGTGTTTGATTGCATTCTTTTATGTAGTATTAACATGATAAAATCCAAGCATGGTATCTTACTGAGTATTCCTTATACTCATAGTATTCTATTCTAAATTTTCAGATCCATAATCGTTGGGTTGATAGAAGTTAGCTAGCATAAGTGATGATGAGTTAAGGACAAAGATATTTTGCATCGAAAGTTTCATTTTATATGTTTTGTTCGATGACTGCTTTCCATCTGTTTTTATTATGGTTTTATATAAAAACATGTACATGACATGATGTAATATGGCATTAAAAGTAAATTTAGTAATCATATCTTTTATGTTATGTTAAGAGACATTTTTATAGTGTTTTCTTGCAAGTGATGAAAGAGGCAGAAACGAAACGGTTTTGGGGTCAACTTCAAAACGTTATTTCCAACTCTATAAGTATCCATTTGAGACTCAAAATATTTCTGTGTTCCTCTTTGAGTTTTCTAAATATGGCCGCAGGAATTACTCAATTTGGATAATTGTGGCCTGAGATATAAATTTTTAAATGTCAAAGGGTCAATCTGGATTTCCTGTGTAACACTTCACTGTTTTCAGTAGCATATCTCCAGGACTTCATATGCCATCAAGCCACCTCCCTTCACCCATCTCAAAGGTTGGACAAGCTGAAGGAACAAAACTCTTTAGGTAATTACTATCCTCTTAACACTTGTGTTTCTTATGAGAAATTATCAGATTCACATAAAGCTTTCGTTACCTCTATCACTTCTCAATCTGAACCTAGAAATTACCAAGAAGCCCAAAATTTCCCTGAGTGGAATGCAGCCATGAAAACTGAGATTGAAGCTCTTGAACTTAATGACACTTGGGTTTTAGTTGACCTACCTCCTGGCAAGAAAGCAATAGGTTGTAAATGGGTATACAAAGTAAAGTTCAATGTTGATGGGAGCATAGAAAGATTTAAAGCAAGACTTGTTGCTAAAGGATACACGCAACAAGAAGGAATTGATTATCACGAGACATTCTCACCCGTTGCCAAACTTGCCACAGTCACAACGTTGCTAGCAGTGGCAGCCATAAGAGGATGGCATCTTTTTCAGTTTGATGTCAATAACACATTCTTACACGGTGAATTAGAAGAAGAGGTCTATATGGAGATTCCCCCTAGTTACTTTAAAGCTGAAAGCAAGAAAGTTTGTAAGCTCAAAAAGAGCTTGTATGGTTTGAAGCAAGCATCACACCAATGGTATGCCAAACTTTCCAAAGTTATCATCGAACAAAGGTATATTCAATCAAATGCAGATTATAGTTTATTCACTAAGAGTAATGGTGCTTCCTTTACTGCAGTTCTAGTATATGTTGATGATTTAATTGTGGTTGGAAATTGTATTAGTATGATAAACCATCTTAAAATTTCTCTTCATGACAAATTTAGGATCAAGGATCTTGATAAACTAAAGTACTTTCTTGGAATAGAAGTAGCCAGGTCTGCAGAAGGCATTTATGTATGCCAAAGGAAATATGCTCTTGATATCTTGAATGATTAAGGAACAATTGGTTCAACCCCTGCAAGGATACCATTGGACCAAAATGTGAAGTTGATCAAAGATGAAGGGGAACTACTCTTTGAACCTGGACTTTATAGAAGATTGGTTGGCAGATTATTGAATCTAACAATAACTAGACCTGATATTTCATACTCGGTCCAATTGTTAAGCCATTAATGGAAAGTCCTAGAATTCCACATCTCCATGCAGCGCACAAAGTCCTTAGATATATCAAGAGAGCCCCAGGTCAAGGAGTATTCTATCCAACAAATTCAACGTTACAGTTACATGGATATAGCGATTCGGATTGGGGAGCTTGTCCTAATACCAGGCGTTCAGTGACAGGTTATTGTGTGTTAATTGGAAAATCATTGGTGTCTTGGAAATCAAAGAAGCAACATGTTTCAAGATCATCTTCGGAGGCAAAATACAGAGCTATGGCAGATTTGTGCTGTGAATTAACATGGTTCAGGTACTTATTTGAAGATCTAAAGATAGCTCATCCCCAAGCAGCTTTCCTATATTGTGACAACAAATCAGCTGTTCATATAGCTGCCAATTCAGTTTTTCACGAAAGGACCAAACACATAGAACTTGATTGTCATTTAGTTCGTGATAAAATTCAAGATGGACAGATTGTTACCAAACATGTTCCTTGCAGGTCACATATTGCAGACATTCTAACCAAAGCCTTGAACTCTCAAAGTTTTTATTTGTGTATGCTCAAGATGGGACTAATAAACATATACTCTCCATCTTGCAGGAGGCTATTGGAAGGTGACAAAGCTGCTGAATTAGAAAGACAGTAGACTCAACAACACAGTCAGCAAAGGAAGGACACATTGGGAATTAACCACTACACAAAAATAACAGAATAAGAACTCTCTTGAGAAGGAAGAGAAACTCAGTATTAGTTAGAGAATTTGTTATGTAAATCTGTATTGCATGTAAATATTCTTCTAGAATAGTCTTTGGCATATATATATACACATACCTCTGTACAGCTTATGGTGTGAGAAATCAATACAATTTAATTTCAATTTTCTTCAATCATTCAGCCAATTCTCCTTATCTTATCTGTATATTTCTGAAACAAAGAGAGATAGATTAAGTTTAATGGATCAACAAAGAAGTGCAACATATACAAGCTAAAATGGTCATAAATGCCTCCAATTCAATAAAAGATATGGTCTTGCAAATGATAAATGGTGGAACAAGATTAAAGAAGTTCTAAGAATGCCTATAAAATGGAAAAGAGAGATAACAATATTATTTTCAGTGGGCTTGATGAATATCAGCAATGCTACCTCTAATTGCTGATACATTGTCTTTTAACATTTGGAGAACATAAGAATGTTTCAAAAAATTTCTTCTTTATTGAAAGAGTTTTCTTAGAAATGCAACTTGGAATGACCAATTCAACAAATTGAAAAAAAAAAAAAAAAAAAAAGGAATAAAAATCCGAAGAGCCACATTATTTCTTGTTCCATACAATGGCTCATTTTTCTTAAGACAGCCACTTTACACTGTAATGATTGCTTTTCTCTAATCAATTTCTGCACTGCCCACAAAACCCTTAAGACTAGTCTCTACTCTAAGAACTCACTGCAAAATGAGCTAACTACCTTTTATCTTTTGACATAATATTAGATGTCTCTGCTCCTATTCCCGAAATCCAGATTGTGGGCCAGTTATGAAAATAATGTCTAGTTGAGCAACGTTCTATTCTTTCCATTCAAGTTAGTAGAATCAACATAACCTGAAAAACTTATCTGATAACATCACAAACCAACTTCAATCAAACACTTCAATTTTGACCGTCTAATAATTGTTGCCTATACGATGTCTGTGTGTTATTGTAGTCGCAATCAAACAAGCAGGTAACAATGGCATTCATGCTCTAATGTTCAACATATAGCTTCATATATCTGAGATACATATATTATTTTACGTACCTAAACTACAAGTAAACAGCACATGACTGCAGCTAATTTATTCAACTAGTTATACTCAATTTCAGATTTAAATCACAACAATAACATATCAACAATTTACTGATACAATGGAATATATTAATATAGAAAAAGACATCAATTAACTTTTTTACTAGACCATAAGCAATGAATAACAATAATAAGAACAACTATTGTTGAGATCGTTCTCAAGAACTAACAAAATAATATTATACCACTTAATACATTATAATAGGAAGTCCTTGTAGGATTTAAATTACTTACCTAAGACAGTTTTTATTACTACTGTTGCTGATTCTGAGAAGGTGCATTGGGTGGAGGAGGCATTCCAGGTCTGGGGGGACCAAACATGTGAACTTGTCCGCCAGGAGGTGGCGGCGGCATGCCTGGGCGTGGCGGCATCTGTCCAGGAGGCGGGGCGCCAGGCATTCCAGGTCTCATAGGCGCTCCGGGAGGTGGAGGACCCCTCATCATCTGAGGTGGGGGAGGACCCATCGGCCTCTGCCCAAACTGTGAAGGCGGAAACTGACCAGGCGGCCCCGGCCTAAACTGAGGTGGAGGCGGCATCGATGCACCCGGCATCCCAGGCCTCGGAGGGAAACCACCAGGGGGCGGCATAGACGGAGGCCTTAGGACAGGAGCCTGAACCCCAGATGCCTGCTGCTGGGGAGGATAAGAAATCGGAGGCATGGAAATCTGCGGCGGGCGCGAGATCTGCGGCTGCATCATTCCAGGCGCTGGTCCGCCTACTCCTCTTACAGGCCCAGAAAGCCCAGGTTGGGCCTGCACAAGCGGGCCAGTCGGCACACCCCGGCCAGCGGCCCGACCAATCCCTGGTCCCGGAACAGCGTTTGCACCAGCGGCCTTTACACGGGACTCATCGGGGGGAGGTGGGCCCTCGACAGTTATCGAAATGACCTCCTCTCCACGAAGAAGAACAAGGCCAAGGGTGCGGCGGTCCTCGCGCTCCTCCTTGGATCCTTTAATAGGTGGAAGTTTACGAAACTCTTCGCAGTCTCCAAGTACCAAATTCATGTGCCGATCGAAGGCCATGAATTTTCCGATGAGCTGACGCCCATCCTGGATCGTAACACGCATCCGATAGTTTATATAATGGAGCATCTTCGAACTCCTAGACATCGACATTGTTGCAGATTCAAAATTGAGCTCACTTTTCCCTCTCTAACCTGTATTCCGGGAGACAGGAAGGAGCGAGACTGAGAGTAGGGTTTTGGGGAAAGTGGTTTTATATTTCCTTTTCAAAACACTGCTTGCTAAAATGAAACAGGCGGGCAGAAGCCTCCAAATAAGTCCTCCAACTTTCCGGTAAAGTTTCAGATAATTCCAAATACATCCTTCATCTTTCAGAATCCTCCAAATGAGGCATCAAACTATCAGCTAACAAACATTACATCCCTCATCTTTCAGAGACCTCCAAATGAGGCATCCAACTTTTGGCCAACTTAAATTATATCCTTAAACTTTTGAATTGTAACAAATGAGTGCTCTAACTTTCTGCTAAGTCCAAATACAACATTCAATGTTAAAAAACCTCCAAATGAGGCCTCTTTCTTTTGCTTAACTCGAATTGCATCCACAAATTTTGGTTACATCCAATTAAGGCCCTAAACATTTGGGTGACTCTAAATACATCCTTCATCTTTCAAAAACCTCCAAATGAGGTCACCAACTTTCAATATTTTTAAAACTGGATCGGACATCGACTCGAAAAAGAGAAAGGGTCAAGGGTCAAAAGATTCAACCGAAATCAAACCGAAAGTAATAAATATATTTTTTTAAACATTTTAATTTATTTTGACAACAATAAGTTTTGAACAATGACCTATGTTTTTATTATATAATAATTAAAAAAAAAAGGTTTTGGAACAATAATAGATACCAAAATTAAATTTAAAAAAATAAGCCCAAGTATTACAACAATAATATATTTATTTTAGCTTTACTTATTCAAAGCAAATTTAATCTACGTTTTTTAATTAGATGCATTATAATATAATTTATTTTAAAACTTCAAAAATTGAAATAATTTGCTATAGTCTTTATTCAAATAAATCCATTTGTTTGTTTTGCAATTGGAAGTCTTTGTCCCACATCAGTAATCGAATGCAAATGTGGAGAGAGACATGTTTTTAAAAAGGAGTGCTCATCACCAACTCAAAAAAGTATAGTACGGGCCCGTGGCTGTAATTTATGAACTTGAAACGAGTTAAAATTTTTGATAAACATAGTGCATGGGAACCAGTCAAACCGTGAACAATTTTTCTATCTATGTATAAATCGCCCGACTGTATGGTTTGTTGATCGGGTTTTCCTCTTTCGATTATTGTAGTGTGCCCGGACTGGATTTTAAGCCAATTCACGATTTCCCTGTTTGAATTGATTGGTTCAGTCCACTTTTAAAAACATTGTCGACTTTTGATAATATGAACTATATCCTTAACATTCAAGAGCCTCCATATAAGTCCTCTGACTTTCTAGTAACTCTAAATACATTCTTCATCTTTCAGGAAAATCCAAATATAGCCTCTAACTTTCGAATTACTCCAAGTACATCCCTCTTCTTTTTATACCTTCAAAATAAGGACTCCAAGTTTAGGCTAACTCCGAAAACACTCTCAACATTCAAACACCCTCTAACTTAATCCTCCATCTTTGAGATAAGTCTATATACATCCTTTATCCTTCAAAAACCTGAGGACTCAAACTTTCTAATAACTTAAATTACATCCTTTAGCTTTCAGATACCTCATATTAAGTCCTCTAAATTTTAGATAACTCTGCATACATCCTTTATCTTTCAGAAGCCTCCAAATAAGGCCTCAAAGTTTCTTATAACTCAAATTACATCCTTCAACTTTTGGATGCCTCTAATTAAATCATCTAGCTCATTCAACCTTTAGATGCCTCTGATTACATTTTCTAGCTTTCTGATAACTTTTATTGCAACCGTCAACTTTCTAATAATTCAAATTACATCCTTCAATTTTTAGATACCTCAAGTAAGTCCTCTAACTTTCCTATAACTATAAATACATCCTTCATCTTTCAGATACCTCTAGTAAGTCCTCTAACTTTCCTATAGCTCCAAAACATCCTTCATCTTTCAGAAACCTCCAAGTGAGGTCTCAAAATTCCCGATAACTTGAGTTATATCTTTCAAAAATGCGTATTGAGTTTTATGTTATAAGTTTAACTTTATTTTTGAAAATACATTTTTCGAAAATATATCAGTTCAAACACGTTTTCGGTGTTTTTAAAAAACTGAAAACAACAAACCAATACACACTAAACTTTCTTCTCTCCCATTTATGCTTCCATATATGCTTGGTACAACTGATAGGAAGTCAACGTTAATATAAGTCAAACTTTTTTTAATTAAATTTCTATTAAACGTGTTTAGGACATTATTTCCTTACACGGTAAAATGTTATACATTTTGTGAGTTGTCATATGAGCTGCATGCACGGGGTAAATAAGAGCTTTTTTTTATTCTCATTAATTAGGAAAAAAAGTGTTTTGAATAGTATATTTAGGAGAATATGTGGTTAAAAAATAGGAAAAAATTTTTGGTACGTTTAGAATATTTTATTGTATGAATAAGTAATTAAAAATAATCTTGTATCAAACTATAAAGTAATTTAATGAGTGTCAAACAGGAACTAAATAAGCATCTAACGGCCCATGAAACATCCGACTTCAGTCAAAGGGTTTTGTATGAACGAAAAATTTCGTGTTTGCATCATTACGAAATAAAAAACAGATAATACTATGTCACATTTTTAATCCAGAAAATACTATTAAGATAAATAATTTAAAAATGCTACATTTCAAAATTAGATTTCAAAAAATGATATAACTGATGTTTTTTCAAATCACTTTAACATTCAACTTATCAATTAATTACTCTCCAAAATCAATACAAAATTTATAATTCTTAATGGGCAAAAGGTACCCAAATTCGTCTTTGGCTGAAATCAAGATCTGCTATATTTGGTATGTGTCGAAATTGGAGATATTGCTTCACAACTAATATCCAACTTTTTCCAGCTTTTGGTATGTGTATAGAAGGTGCTTATCACCTCACGGAAGCACATACTGCTGTTGAGTTTGGGGATCTTGAAAAGTATTATTGAATCAATTCTGGGCCTCCATTTATTCAAATTTTCCCTAATCTAAGATGTTCTTTCTGTAATGTTACTTACAATTCAAAGTGTGAAAACAATTGTGACAGATTATATATTTTTTTGGGGTTTCATTGTTGTCGCCATAAGATGCGATGCCAATCACAAATGACTATATATGTGATGTGTTGATCTCAAAAATGTATCTCCAATGTGGCCAATAGATCTCAAGATCTTTTACGTCCAAACAAGCCGTATTTTTGCACACTAAGACAAATCGTTAGCCATACGTGGCTTTCTCCGGTAGGGTGGAGCCAGTCGCGCACACTTCGACGATTAAGTCAGTTTTGGGAAGAAATATATGAGTGGGGGGGGGGGGCTTTTAACGTAAGCCTCTAATATAAAAAGGGGGTCAGTATTGGGAGTAAATAAATAATGCAAAGAGTGAAGTTATAGTATCAAAGTCTAAGCTTGCATTACCTTTGAAATAAAACCAAATGTGAGCTTTTATAGTAAAAGAGGGTGAGTAAGAGCCGTTGCATGAAGAGACATGTGGCCTCATCTTAGCAGCTAGAGCCTCTTGTCATAAGTATCAATCAGTCAGACTTAGGCTCAAGTGCATTTAATGTTATGACCATTTGCAGTCTTAGGCTTGACATGTAAGACTAGACTTGACTTACTGATTGAGTTAAGTCGTCTATGCAGTGAGTTGTCACATTACTCACTTATTACAAGATTTTGTATGAAGATCTTCCCTAAGATGCCTCTACCTTCCTCGTCTCATTCATGAGGGCTCGGCTCCCATTGGGGTTCGGCCAATAGGGCTTGACCATGGTGGCTCAGCCGTGGGGCCTCATCCATGGGGCTCGGCCATGGGGGCTCTACCAAATTACTACATGTGTAGAATGATGTGGAATGCGGGTCTAAGTTCTCTTGCTGTGCAACTGTCATTTAGTAATGCTTAGAGCCTCATTGGAAAAGTCGTAACATGATGTGTTAATCTTTGCTTTTGTTGGCTCCGTTTATAAATTGAATGACTACATATGTGAATACGTGATGTGTTAATCTTTGAAATATATCATTTAAGATTCATCAACATACTATACTATAACACATAACGCTACCATTGCATCTGTAGGTGACAAAATTCTTATCTTTGAATTCTGTGAAGATACAATACCCTTGAAGATGAAAATCTCCATAATTTTCTAATAAGGTCACCCACTACCATGGAGAAAATAAATAGGAAAATGCAACAAATTTTGGAAGGTGCTAGAATCATCCATCGACATAGTAGAAGAAACTAGAATGCTTGCTATATTATTTATTCCACCACCATATGAATTGTGTAGAAGAAGAAGGATCTGACGTGCATTCCAATAAATATGGATCAGCACTTGTATTTTGTAGTGTAGAGAGAAATGGTAGAGTATGAGTGAGAATTAAGAGGAAGTGAGAGAATTGAGTGCTAGATGTGGAGTGGCAGTGAACAAGAGAGATCAGCTGTGGAAAACATATTTGGTGTGTAATTAAATTATGTTGTTTATTTTGTTATAAAATAATATTTTTCTTGGGCATGCAACATTTTGCTCCAAGGGAATCTAGATTGATTGCATCAAAGTAAAGTGCTTTCCAGTGATTTCATTACATTGATGCACCCCTTTCTACGGCTGATATGTCAATAAATAATTTTGATTTTCAGCATTCACATGTCACCATTTGATTTAGATGATGATTACATTGATGAAAAGAACGATTTTTAGTGTTTTTAACATTTTTATTATCATTTTATTTCAAACGTGTGAGACTTTTTAAAACCTTTTTACGTTTAAATATTATTCAAGAATAAAATGCAGTTACCTTTCAATTCAAGTATGTATTTGATTTTTTGAATGAAACATTGAATTATGAATTGACAAGCAGTGTTTTTAGGAATCCTCTCTCTCTCTCCCTGTGCGCGGGTGCGCGCTAGTGTCAATTGTAATGAGTTTATGCTTGTAATGTTTGATTTCGAAATATAATAATAATATTATGGATTGGTGCATAGTTGGATGAGCGATAAAAATAAAAATAAAAAATTTATGCTATTTTGTTGTGATGTTTACTCGTGAGTGAT